AATAATATATAATAAAAATATGTGCCATTCACAATATATTGTTATTATGGATCATTGAGCACTCAATTATAAATTCTTATTTCCCTGGTGAGTACTACATTTACATTTCATTGATTTGTACTCAGTGTATCAAGTTTACTTGGACAATAAACAGATGATTACGAGCTAATTTGGAAGTTCAGTGGACCTTTGTTTCCATATTGTAACTGATTATCCTCAACCAAGTTCCAACATGAATGTTTATAAGCAATGTTTTTCATGTATTTCTGTGTACTTCAGAAGACATATGCAGTGAACAATGTCACGACTTTTTGTGAGGTGTTTGGTTATCTGTGTGAATGTTTTGCATTGAAATCCTTCATTGTATGAAAACTATTATACGTTGAATGTATGTTTGAACATATACCGTCATAACACAAAGTGTCTGACAAACAACGTCCTTTGTCCGTTGGTCTTGAGACAAATGATATCATGCTGACACTAAAATCCACAGAAAACTCAGTACTGTTTCATGTACATGGTACATCTGTGGGGTACCCTTGTGGTTAAAGCGTTCACTTATCATGCGAAAGATCTGAGTCTGATTACGAATGTGGGTTCAGTGTACAATGTATACCAGTTTCTGGTGATCCCACTTTGATATTGCTGGAATAGAACCATATTTACTCACTAACTCTCATATATCCCTCTCTGATATAGCTGGATTAGTGTTAAAAGTTGTATAGAACCTGACTCACTCACTCATTCAAACTTCCAGATGACAGAATAATCCTCGACAACAACTCCTCCAGACCTGAAACCAGTTCATCCATTAATGATTACTGAACAGTCAGAAGTTCAAGGCAAAATTCTACACCGAATCAGTATCAAGTGCAGAATTAGAATGTCAGAATCTTTTTTAAGATGTATTTACTTTTTAACTAACAGGAAGAATTTTGCTGCCTCTCATAACAGATAATACTTTTTTCGCTTTCCTTCTTTACTTGCCTATCCACCTTGATAATTTGAATTTTAGAAGAAAAATGCCCTTTCATAAAAACACCACAAATATGTCTCTTGAAATTGATTTTGTTCTTCTCTCCAACCATGTGCAAACTCATCTTTGGCGCCATCGATTTTAGATGTCCCAAATTGATTTACTCTGCTGGAGAATCTCTTCATCTTCTTTCTTATCTTTCCACGTGGAGCGTTCCATTAATTCCTTTATTGGCATTTAATACAGTACAATAACATACTCCTTGGCCAATGGACCCTGTGCTGATAGAGAAAATGGAGAGTATTGTTAAGTTAGTAGGTGACAGGATTATATTGTGGTTAGACCACATTGACAGATTTACCCTTTGATCTTCCCACTTGATTAACTTTCAGCTTTTTAAAGCTCAATTCTTCAGGGGTGTCCCTGCCCACATTACTTCTTCTGTCTTACAGGGACTATTGTGTCCCTGCATATACTGCCACATTACTTCTGCTCCCTGTATTGCCACATTACTTCTGCTCTGTCCTCACTGTGAGACTATTGTCAGCTGTGCTTTTACATTGCCACATGTAAATAATCAAGTCTGGACCAGACAATCCAGTGATGGACATTATGAGCATCAATCTATGCGATCAGGATATGATAACATGCATCAGCCTGGCAACCTTAGGTAGTTGTTCAGGCAGAATGGTGGTCAATTGCAAGGGCAACTGTATACAACAATATCCCACCATGCAGTCTTGTATCACCCAACAAAGTTGACGTTGATCTTCACACCCAAAATGAATTTTACAGACATTTATTGTGATTACACCTTGACTATCATTTCATGAGTTCAATGTTTCATGTGTCAATAGTATAGTGACTGACTGACTGACTGAGTTTGGTTTTACGCCGCTTTTAGCAATATTCCAGCAACATCACGGCAGGGGACACCAGAAATGGGCTTCACACATTGTACCCATGTAGGGATTCGAACCCGGGTCTTCGGCATGGCGAGCCAATGCTTTAACCACTAGTCTACCCCACCACCCCCAATAGTATAGTGGTATATGGAAACTAAAATGTGAGTCTCATATGTTTTTTTGTCATGGTCCAATGATCTAAGTAACCATAACTTTCATGGTTTCAAATGCTGGTTTGCCTTGATTGTGTTTCTGCATTTGTCAGCATCATGCACATGTTCTTTCATTTAGAAACATCAGATTTTGGTTTTGTCCTCACTAAACTGACATGCTGTGTAACTGGGATGTTGTTCAAACTGGCAATCAAGTCACTCACTCACTCACTCACTCACTCACTCACTCACTCACTCACTCACTCACTCACTCACTCACTCACTCACTCACTCACTCACTCACTCACTCACTCACTCACTCACTCACTCACTCACTCAAGTTTGGAATTGCCCAGCAAAACCTACACTGACCTACATGACCCTACATGTTGACAATACCAATCACTGAATTATGTGGTCCAGGCAGGACTATTTACAGGCTTCCATCATATAGCTTGATTATTTACAGACACCTGTCATGCAGCTGGAATGCAGCTGACTACAGCATTAAACAACAAAAACAAAAAACACTACCATACCATGTACTGTGTAAACAAACACACTAAACACATCCTTCAATTCCCTGTCAACTGCATATTGGAGGTATACATCATAACAAAACCTACGACCATGACCTTGTGTGTGATGTGTCTTTGATATGCAACCTCTGAACTCTGACATGCGACCTCTGAACTCCCTCAGTTGGTAATCCAGGTCCAGATGTTATCAGTTGTCATGATTGACTGTCAGTTTGTATCGATATGCGACACGAGGGACAGTCCTTGTTCAACACCTGGAGTCACTGACACACTCCGTTCACTTTGGATGGAGAATTACTGAACTAAAGCTTCAATGTAAGTTTTGAAAGTAAATGTTTCCATGTCAAATCATTGTAAATTGTAATGGTTTTTTTTTAAAAATGTTTACTAACCATATCTGTAAAGAGCTCTATCCTGACTCAGAAAACATGTCTTAACATTTGATTATTGGTCTGAGGAAAGAGTATATTTTTCACTTCTTTGAAAAGGTCACACATTTTACTTAATTTTCAGTAGAAATGGTTAGCCAGTTAAGTCAGTAAAGAAAAATAACATAAAGTAACATGACTCCTTTCATATGCATAAGAAATCAATTGTACAATTCTGACATTATTATGAACATATTATGAATCATTTTCAAATAGTCATGATACGAAGTGCTGACAAAGATGTGAGCATGTCTGGGCCCACTGGTGAGACCCTTCTCTAATAGGTGCAAAGGCAAGGGTCACCAAAAAGTAAAGTGGAAACCTCGCTCAAATCTAAGATAAGCAAATGCATCAGAATTTCATCATTTATGCATCAGATTTTAAAATGTCCTCTACATCTGCCAATAATCTTTTTAAAAGCTTAACTGAGACAGTGAATGTTTTAAAGAAGTATGAGGAAGCTGAATTTTGATAAAACAAGAGCTGGTTTAACAATATTCCACCTAGATAATCAAGCCTGAATCGGACAAACCAATGATTTATTTTATTATGACTGACTGACTGACTGAGTTTGGTTTTACGCCTCTTTTAGCAATATTCCAGCAACATCACGGCGGGGAACACCAGAAATGGGCTTCACACATTGTACCCATGTAGGATTCGAACCCGGGTCTTCGGCGTGACGAGCCAACACTTTAACCACTAGGCTACCCCACCGCCCCTATTTTATTATGAGGGTTGATCCAGTGCAATGCAACCTGATACATAAAGTTGCTTCATATCAGAATTACCAGGGTAACCCATAGATAAGCAAACCCCTTCTATGGACTGCTTTTTTGGTCCTCAGAATTCAGCTTATCTACAGTAATATACGGTACCTACAATATAAATGGACTGTATATGTGTTCGTGCTCACAGCATCAATGTGTAAATCTTATATCATAGCCATTCCTTACTGAATATGAACTGAGTCAGTATATGTTTTCTATAACACTGGTGTTATTCCTGTGAGAAGGTTGTTATTTTTGCAAACCAGACTTCATGTCAATCGGGGCAATGGTTTCATTATATCCATTGCCTTCTGGCCTAGAGACATAAAATCTATATATTATTCATGTGTCACAAACAAGGTACTCATTTGGTGGCTGTGGTGACCCTGTGAGAAATAATTGCTTGTCAGAGTGACGATCCTATTGACTTAGCCAGGCTACAAGGCCCCAGGCGGTGGTCCTGTAGCTTCACCTTCAACTTAATGCCCGTGAATGATGTAGATCACTTTGTTCTTTCATGCATGGAGAGACATAGCAGCCACCAATTGTCACATGTGGTATTGTTTCTTATAAAGTATTAATCTCTGTCTGGAAAGTAGTCTTGACATTTCCTGACAGATCATTGTTTAGGTAACTATTAGTGGTGAGGGGAATAGCGTATGTTTGACCTTCGAGTGAATCATTAAGATGTATATGTAGGTATTTTATCAAAAGAACGCAGCCTTTTAGCTAGGTAGATAGTTTTTAGGTTATCTTGTAATTAAAGTGCAACTACTTTTGTAGTCAGTTTGTTTTGTTGATGTCACAGAATCATGGCCACATTAAGCTTTGTGTTTCACACTCAACAAGGACATATTTTTCTGTATGTGACACCCTAAACATTCACAGCAGAATGTGTCACAACCTACCAGGAAACCCCTTAAGTGTGACAAAACAGGGCACATTAGACTGTGTGTTGCCCATGACATGTGTCAGATTCAACAGGGGCACATTTCCTTCTTAGCCCTAAGACTGTCATAAGTCGTTGTTTTTAACAATGACACATAAGAGTCTTCATAACAAGATTTTATTGTAGAATTCAACATTTATCGTTTCTATGGATCTAGAACTTCCAATTAAACAGCTGGAATATTGCCGAGTGCGGGGTAAAACTAGACTCACTCACTCACTCACCCAATGAACCACATCCCAGAAGCTTTAATGATAGTCACCTTTCTCTGTTTTTTTCAGATTCGGAGACTGTACCCTGAAGCAAACTTGAAGCTCCCTGGAAAGAAAATATTCGGAAATTTGGATCCAGAATTTATTCGTCATCGCAGAGAGGGTCTAGATGAATTTATTCAACAGCTGATCTCTCATAAAAATGTGTGCCAACAGTAAGTAGCATGATGGTGTACATTTGTTAACTGAATGTCACAGCATACAGAGTTGTGTCCCTTTGCTGTTAGTTTACCAGTTGTAAACCATGCATGGATGTTGGATTAACCTAGTGCTTCAAGCAGGACAATGTTAAATGCATACTAGGGGTCCCTCTCAGTAATGTTATGGGTCTTGATTTGTGGATTTACACACACAATACACCTGCACTTATTTGCTCTCTGAAATTATACCAACTTTGACTTGAATTTCCTTGATCTTTTTGAACTTTGTACACATGATCATGTGTTTTCAGAAAATGGTAATGAAATGGTAATTGGATATTGATAAAATGTTAATGTAATGGTCATTGTGCCCAGTTGTCTAAGTCATTGATGTAGTGTGAAATTGTCTCCTGGCTGTGGCTTCAGTGAAGTCAGCATACTATGGACAATACTATTTGCAGTGAAACTGTCCACATGGCAAATTGCTACAAAAGCACAGGGGTGGTGGGGTAGCCTAGTGGTTAAAGCATTTGCTCATCATGCTGAAGGCCCAGGTTTGATTCCCCACATGGGTACAATGTGTGAAGCTTATTTCTTGTGTCCCCTGCTGATATTGCTGGAATATTGCTAAAAGTGGCATAAAACCTAACTCACTCACTCACCAACCCTGTTAAAACTGTCATATACATATGTGAAAAAGGGGCCTGGAACTGACTCACTGTATATTTATAATAACTTGATAAACACATAAAAGATTTTCTGTCTGGTTTCTCTAATTTTAACATTATTCACTTCCTTAAACTTATGTAATACTTACTTGCCTTTGTCCAAAAATGAAGCCATTGCTTTAAGTTCATTGAGCTTAGAAATTTGAATAATAGGGGCAATTATTAAAGTCATAAACAAGTCTGTTGTCACAGACCAAGCTGTACTGAACAAACAGAGCATCATTAAAACATTATTATGTAATCCTTCTGTGATTCTGTTTCCTGTAGTCATGATATGGCTGTGACATTGCCAATGTGATGTTAAATATTAACTCACTTGCTCACTCACTCACTGTTTCCTGTAAAAGATATCTGGAATAGAGACAAGAAAATGCAGATTGACTCTGAAGCTATGCTTGTTAGGACTGCTTGAGTATTGGTCTTGAAGTTGATTGAGAGGTCATCAGCAGAGCACTTACAGAAGTGGGGGGGCTCCATATATCCAAAACAGTCATTTAAAAACTTGAAAATGAAACTTGAAAAACAAATTGAACAACGCTAATGATTTTCGCAGTAATAAGATGTAAACTGAGTTGAATGTTGTTGTTGCTCCTTGAATACACGGAAATAGGAAATAACACTTGAAGGACTTCCACTTTCCTGCTTAGACATTTTATCTCATTTTCTAGTAGAATCATTAAAAACTCTGGCAGTGTTCATTTTCTGAACAGATTGCCTGAAGTTGCAGCTAAGTTTGTTATAAAACCATTTAGCTTCAAGCCATCAAGGCCTTTGTTTCTCTACATGTACGGCTAATGACATGATTCAAGACAAATATACAGGTCATCACGCAGACCCTGGGGCCTCTCTCAGTGGATTCTAGTGGTCATGAATGTACAGGGCCATGTTGATTTCACAATCTGTCACCCAGTCGCCACTGAAAAACGTTGCAGAGATTGACCTCATCTGTCAAGGATAGCTTATACTGTCATGTTCTACTTAACTAGTATTTCTCAAGCACCTGTTGAGTAGTGAATGTATAGTTTTTTACCCTCAGGCTGTTAAAAATACACATAGTTTGTGTGATAATGGTTGTGATTCTATGTAGATCAAAAATCAATTTTTTGTTAAAATGAGATAACAAATTGTACTTATTTCTGTTAGATGTTGAAACCACTTTTATTTTGTGCAGGTTCTTTTTTATCTGTATCATATGGTGTTGATTGCAATATGCTTAGTATTGTGGAAGTTTGAATATTTTGATTATGGGTGTAGTTAAAAGATGTGGTTTGAGTGTACCAAAGAGTGAGTGAGTGAATGAGGTTTAACATTGCTTTTTAGCAATATTCTAATATCTCAGCTTGGGACAACAGAAATGTCCATGCATCAACCATCTTAGTGAGCCTGACCATCTGATCCCATAAGTCGCTCCTTATGCATGGGGTTTTGAAGACCAGTACAGCAGTTTTAGCTTCTTCACATTAACACAGCCCTACAACAATCCTACCATTAATATCACTTGTGACGTTGGTCCTGTTTTATCAATGAATCATATCATAAGTGTAAATGTTCCTGATCTCCGGTAGTTCTTGAAATCATGGTGACATTCATGAGGACCAAAACTAGGCCTTGGTTTACTTTACTTCCAGTGTGTGACTGACCTGACCTTGACTTCTTCACATACACATATTTGTTGATTTAGCAAACCTAAGATATATCTGTTCTAATTGTCTCAAAAAAAGACAATGGCCATATTTAAGTCAATATTGAATTTGTATTTGTATTTTGAATTTGTATTTTGAAAACCTCTAAAGAACAAAGGCCGATTATTAAGAACAAAATGAATAATGTGTGAATATCATTGTGAAAACAAGAATCATGATATACAGCAGGCCTAATGTCGTGGGGCTCCTTTCACGAAGCAAACTTTACTAAGGTTAACCTTAACTCCCATTCTTTAACAGTGCACTAAGGTTACCTTAGTGACTTATGATCACCTTAGTGCTTTGTGAAAGGAGGCCCTGATGTATATCATATTCCCACTGTGACTCAGTCATGCTCCTAAAATCCGTAGTTTGGTCTCAGTTATGATCCTTATTTGTCAGTACTATACTGCTCATAGGTGGCCCTACATTACGTGATGTCAGTCACTGGATTGTCTGGTCCAGACTCGATTATTTACAGACCAACATTATATGAATACTGCCTAATGCTGCGGTAAACAAACAAACATTTCTGCTACCAGTATTACTTCATGCTCTCCCCTAACTGTGAGAGTGGTGGGATAGCCTAGCTGTTAGTGTATCTGCTCATCTCACCAAATACCTGGGTTTGATTCTGAACATAGTTACAATGTGCAAACCCCCTGCAGTGCTATTGCTGGAATATTGCTAAAAGCAAACCATACTCACTCACTCTTTCCACTTTTAGTAACCGCAATATTTTTTAAAGAGCAGCTTTAAACACATCCCACTCATCCATTGTCAGGAGGAACTTAGTTTGGTTGCAGAAATTCTACATTGTTCTCAGCAGAAGATTAATATCCGTGAAGATCTGGGTTAGAATTGATCTTCAGTAACCCATGCTTGTCGTAAGAGGCGACTAACGGGATCGGGTGGTCAGGCTCACTGACTTGGTTGACACATGTCATCATATCCCAATTGTGTAGATTGATGCTCATGCTGTTGATCACTGGATTGTCTGGTCCAGACTTGATTTACAGACTGCCACCATATAGCTGGAATATTGCTGAGTGCGGCGTAAAACTTAACTCACTCACTCACTCACTCATAAGTTTAGTCATAAGTTTAACTGTAGCTACCAAAACAATCTCAGGGATCATTTGTATTTTGAGGATGTTGTTTGTATTAAAAAAAAGCACAGAATTTCATTAAAATATCAGCAAAAATATTTACCGTGCTTGTTTTGTTCAGTATGCATGAAAGTGGGTCCAGTAGGTTAGCCTTGTGTTTACAGAATCTACCAAAACAATCTCAGGGATCATTTGTATTTCGAGGATGTTGTTTGTATTAAAAAAAAGCACAGAATTTCATTAAAATATCAGCAAAAATATTTACCATGCTTGTTTTGTTCTGTATGCATGGAAGTGGGTCCAGTAGGTTAGCCTTGTGTTTACAGAATTTGCTCTCTACCCCAAAGATCTTGTGCCTTGTCTACAGAGCATTTGTAGCACTATGACATTCATGAGCCTTTGAAAAACTATAGAGTTATGACATTTCGAAAGGCAGGTAACACTGTGGATTAGGACCTTAGGTTCTGAGTATATCCAATTGCTGGGGTCACCAGCTGAGATATTGCTGGATATTGCCTTAAAGTGGTATAACATGTGAAAGTGGTATAAAACCAAAAAGTGGTATAACATTTGAAAGTGGTATAAAACCATAAAGTGTTACAACATGTGAAAGTGGCATACAACCATAAAGTGGTATAATATCTTAAAGTGGTATAACACCTAAAAGTGGTATAACATGTGAAAGTGACATACAGCCATAAAGTGGTATAATATCTTAAAGTGGTATAACACCTAAAAGTGGTATAACATGTGAAAGTGACATATAGCCATAAAGTGGTATAATATCTTAAAGTGGTATAACACCTAAAAGTTGTATAACATGTTAAAGTGGCGTGGTATAACATTTTAAAGTGGTAGAACACATTAAAGTGGTAGAACTTTTTAAAGTGATTTAAAATCTTAAAGTGGTATCAAACCTCAGTTTCACATTGGCTTAATACTTTTGTGGCGTGAAACCTCAGTTCCAACAAAACAGACATGTCTGCACCAACCCTGTCTCTATGACCCTGCCCTACTGGTGAGCTTGTACATTGTACTACATGTACATATTTACACCATGCAGCCAGCCCTTCAATCAGAACATCTGTATGCCAGACAGCAGCTGGGGCTGCACCTTGTTTGCTTCTTTGCGGTTATCTGTATCTGTGCCACCAGCTGGAACACTGTGTTGTCTGTGAGTGAGTGAGTGAGTGGGTGGATGTGTGGGTGGTTGTACAGCATGTGTTCTGATGAAAGAGTAATCAGGTGGTATATGTGAAGCCAAGTGTGTAAGTGACTAGGTCCAGGGTCTGTGGGTGGTTGTACAGCATGTGTTCTGATGAAAGAGTAATCAGGTGGTATGTGTGGAGCCAAGTGTGTAAGTGACTTGGTCCAGGGTCTGTGGGTGGTTGTACAGCACAAGCACCGGCAAGTAAGTGAGTCGGTGGGTGGGTCTGTGGATGGTCAGATGTGTAAGATGATTGGGTTTGATGCTCGGGATGACAAGAAAGTGTCTGTAGTACTTGGACTGAAAGGTCAGCTGAGTTTATCATGGCTGCTGTACAAATTACGGTTCTTTAATGACAGTTCATTAATCATCTTAAGACAGAAGACAAGACAAAAAAAAAAGACAAAAAAAAACAGTAAGGATGTATGGTCACAAGTTTCCATGTGTTTTGATGATCATCCACTGAGGTTACACAATGTTGATGTCAGTTTGAACTTTTGTAGCAGTTACATTCAGAAACTGCAGTAAATATAACCAACAACAAAATTAACACAAAATGTTAAAGAAACAGGGTCACAGTGACCTTTTGGGTTTTGAAACCCGTCATTCCTGACAACTACTGTCTCAGACGTTTAACCACATCAAATGCAACATTGCTACATCAATCTCTTTATTCATACAATTTCACCAGAGACCAATGTTTCCTGATAACAGGGTGGGGGGGTGGCCCAGTGGTTGAGGCATTCGCTCAGCATGCCAAGACCCAGGTTCGATTCACCACATGGGTACAATGTGTGAAGCCCATTTCTGGTGTCCCCCCGCTGTGATATTGCTGGAATATTGCTAAAAGCAGCGTACAACCATACTCACTCACTCACTTTACACAATGTATGCATAAATATCTACAAGAAAACTATATGACATCTTGTAAACCATTCCGACTGAAAATACTCAATCGATCTACTCAAGTGTCTTCACAATATGTACTCATAAGTATTAACAAATTGAAAATCATATAACATCTTTTAAACCATTCCAGCTGAAAATACTCAGAAAGTTTGACACCAAATTAATATATGACATTTCAGTTTTGTTGAGTTATGAAGACACTAAATTTTAATGTCACATGCCATTATGTTGTTATCTCTGGGATCATATAATTGCCAACCCATTTCTTTAAAAAGTGAACGAGAAAATGTAATCATAATTTACATTTATTACATTTCTGTCGACATGTCAAGTATGGAAAAAAACAAAACAGTTGAGATTACTCAGTGTATTAAAAATCATCTAAAATATAACTCTTTTTCTTTTGAGAAAATAGAACAAAAACAACTCTCCCAAGAAATAATGGTGCTAAATATTGCAAATTCATAATTTTTCCCACCCCTACAGATAAAGATTTCTGCAAATGCTACATTGATGGTGTGTTAAGTCAAACTGCTGTGCTAAGTCTAAGTCAACATAAGAATTGAGTGAGTGAGTTTAGTTTTACGCCACACTCAGCAATATTCCAGCTATATGGCGGCGGTCTGTAAATAATCGAGTCTGGATCAGATAATCCAGTGATCAACGGCATGAGCATCGATCTATGCAATTGGGAACCGATGACATGTGTCAACCAAGTCAGCCAGCCTGACGACCCGATTCCGTTAGTTGCCTAGCATGGGTTACTGAAGATCAATTCAAACCCGGATCTTCACAGGTTTCATAAGATGTGATCACCAGGAGAAGATGGTCAGACTGGCAGACTTGGTTAATGCATGTCGTTGTATCCCACTTGCATAAGTCAATACTCATGATGTCTATCACTGGATTCGCGGACTTGATTATCTACAAACCGCAGTCGTGAAGCTGGAATATTGCTGACTGTATCATTTAAGGAAAGATCTAGTGAAGAGTGAGTGAGTGAGTATGGTTTTACGCCGCTTTTAGCAATATTCCAGCAATAACACGGCGGGGGACACTAGAAATGGGCTTCACACATTGTACCCATGTGGGGACTCGAACCCGGGTCTTCGGCGTGATGAGCGAACACTTTAACCACTAGGCTACCCCACCGCCCCCATCTAGTGAAGAGATCTGGACACTCACATGTATAAATGGCACATATTGTTCTGTTGTTTTGTTCCTTACACTCAAGTATTGATTTCTCCAAATACCACAGTCATAGTATAACTTGTATGTAGGTGCTGCTGTATTCTAAGAGAATATTTATTTTTAGCCAGGATCAGTTGTGGTAGCTTCTTCTTTAGAAGACATCATGGGCTGGGGATCTATTCTGTTCAGAATCATTGAGGTTAATGAGATGTTAACAGAAAATTAATTTATAAAACCACTGGCCAAAATGAATACTGTATGTTAAGGTTCAGGAAACAGATCAAGTGCCTAAAATCCTCAAATATCTGATCTTTGATACATCTGCAGAATAAAACATAAAAATGAAAAACACTTCATGTTGTCAATTCACATTTTGTAAAATAATTACAGTAAAATACCTTTATAACGAACTCTAAGGGACCACTGAAATTAGTTCGTTATATCCGTAGTTCGCTATTCACTTTTTTATATGATAATATAAGGTTTATTCTGGACTTTTAAAACAGTTCGCTATAGCAGTCAGTTCATTATATCTGTGTTCGTTATAAAAGTATTCTACTGTATATTCTCTATATTTCTGAATAATTGCAAAAGATATAGAAGAGCAAAATGATTAATGTTCCACAGCAATATATGTTTCTTGCTACTGGAAATACAGAAAACTTCAAACCATGAATATTTGATCATTGATCAGTGATCAACATCTGGTAAGAGAAAACATTATGGTTAAATTCAGCCTGATAATTGCATTACATATTTTCACCTTGGCAATAGACGCTGGCAAACCAGAACATAATTTACCACAGCTGTATATGTTTCTTTCAAAACCGGTATTTCATTCACATGCAGATATGTCTGTGATAATTGTATGTGACACTTTCATTAAATTTATCATCAAAGACCAAGGCTTCGTACATTTCACATGTGTGGTTATGCCCTTAAATTCCCCTGACAGTTATTACTGCTTTAGTTAATTGCTTCCATGTAAATGGGTCAGTGTAGTGTCTCTCATTTGGAGTGCTATAATGAGGGGCACCTGCCATGAACAGGATGTATAAATTATGACACACCTTGTACATTTCATAATCAACATGTATGTGTGTATGTTTCCTCTCTTCTTGTCAACAGCTGTGAGTGTCTGAGTATACCGCTATGTAATTAAATATCCAATATTCAAATATGTCTATTCAGCAGAAATATCTGACGACGGGACATAAATTTACGCAATGAGATCTTGTTGTCAAATTTTGATTTCAGTTATCACTGACATGATACAAGAAAAGTACCATTATTATCTGACATTTTCATATTCTCCTAAAATTCCTACAGATTGGTGGCAGTTTGTAAATAATCAAGTTTGGACCAGACAATTTAGTGATTGATGATGTCATGAGCGTCAATTACTCAAATGGGATATGATGCATCAACTAAGTCAACTCAAAATATAGTGCAATGTCGGAGATGGTACAGAGAGGTTTATGCAAAAAAATTCATTTGTAAACTGATGTATTTCCTTCCGAAAGCTTCAATGTTAAAATAGATACAAAACAGGTCCTATGCATTGTCTGCAGCGATTACTGTCCAAATGGGAAAGACAAGCCATCCATTGCCAGAATTGCTATGGAAAGTGTTAATATCGTGGGAGCAGCAGGAAACTAGAACTATACTCCTGGCAACAGATGTTGAATATGTGAATATTGCTGGTGGTTAACTTGTGCTTTATATGCGTGTGTTGGGATGAATACTATGGTTATGCTCCTCGGCATAAATGAACATTTTGCTTATTCTGATTGTCATTTCGGTATTGTAGCCCTGATGTGCGGAGTTTCCTCTCACTAGACAAGCAACGAAATGCCCAACGTAGAGTCGACTCTGATAACTTTGAAGACGCTGATATAATGGTGAGTATTTTACATAATTTAGCTTTATCGGTATCTTTAATGAACATCAGTTGATTATTAGTATTGGTATAATACAACAATGGTATGATACAACAATGGTATGATACAACAATGGTATGATATGCATTGTGATATGTATCCAATGTCTTTTTTTCGTCACGATATGGCTGAGATATTACCGATGTGACGTTAAATTTAACTCACTCACTCACTCCAATGTCTTTTAATGTTGCATTAAACAATATTCCTGCTACATGATTGACATCTGTAGATAATGGAGTCTGGACGAGACAATCCAGTGACTGATAAAAGTCTAAACAGTTATGACACAATCATGCACCAACCAAGTAACAAGCCTGCCCACCCAATCCTGTTCGTCGCTTTTAACGACAAGCCTGGACAAACAATTCCAGCCCATATCCTCACATGGATCCCTGTGATGCATACCTAGGTTGTTAAACTTTATATACCACTGAAAGAGGGAGTAGTCTCTGGGGGTCTGGTGAGTGAGTGAGTAAGTTAGTTTTACACCGCACTCAGCAATATTCCAGCTGCACGGCGGCAGTCTGAAATAGTCGAGTCTGGACCAGACAATCCAGTGATAAACAGCAGGAGCATCGATCTGCGCAAGTGGGAACTGATGACATGTGTCAACCAAGTCAGCAAGCCTGACCACCCGATCCCGTTAGTCCACCTCTTACGACAAGCATGGGTTACTGAAGATCAATATTCTAACCCAGATCTTCACGGGTCCTGGGGGTCTGGTAACCATCTCAATCTAGACAATGTAGACCAGGACATGTGTGAATTTTTAGTTACTACACTCATGAACTACTCATTTGATAAACAGTTGAGTACAGGAGGGTTTGATTATCTTGAATCAAACTTGCTAGTCAGCTTTTTAATGTTGAAAGAGTGCAATTAAATTGCGAAGATTTACACCAAGTGGCTGGCTCACTTTAGTATGAGGGATTTCAGGAACATTTCTGACATCTGGTTGCCATGGAAACATTTTTATAGCCATTTATGGAAAACCAAATACTGGAGCCATCCTACTTGATGTCATTTCTACAAGATGAATCTAGACTGCATGTCTGTATGTTCTGGATCCCAATGGGAATGATTACAATTCTATGTCTGCACAAATATGTTGTCAGAATAAGGCTTCATAAACTCATACGATTTCCGCTAGAATTTACACATTTTAGTGTCGTCAAAGGTTGACTAGAGTTTTACTTATTTCTCCTTGGCCTGCTTTTCAAAACAGCTTAAAAAATGTATGAAATCTATAACAATGTGTTTGTGTTTGTTTACTCCACGTTTACTCATTTCCATATTTATGGAATATGCCTATCAGGATATCGTGGAAAAAATAAATGTAGCAAATGAGTTTTTTTCATCAGAATAATGACCGTTGTGATATCATGGCTGAAAAGATCGAGAATTGATTACGTGTAGTAGGAGTCAACTTATGAGTATCAAAGGCTAGACAGACTTCATCTGTCTATCAGTGTGCCTTGTCTTTAGCGTTAGGATGATTATAACGTGGGTACAGTATGTATAATCCACCACCTAAAGCATGTTTAAAGTGCTACACCAGTCAATGGCTATATGTGCACTTGATATTCATTGTTAAATCTCGGGGAAGTATTCAACGCAAGCTGCCTGTGAGGCAGGCTTATTACTTTCTCAGCTATACTTGGTACCTATTGACTGCTGGAGTGCTATATGTAGTTCACTCACTCACTCACTCACTCTAGACCAATGCTGTAATGTTGATCACTGGATTGTCTGGTCCAGACTCGATTATTTACAGACCACCACCATGTAGCTGGAATAAACTCACTCACTCACTCACTCACTCACTCACTCACTCACTCACTCACTCACTCACTCACTCACTCACTCACTCACTCACTCACTCACTCACTCACTCACTCACTCACTCACTCACTCACTCACTCACTCACTCACTCACTCACTCACTCACTCACTCACAATCAATCAATCAATCAATCAATCAATCATGAAAGCAATAAATCATCTTGTCCAAAATAATCATTGCTTATTATTTGAACCAAGGAAATCTTTTCATGAAATATTTCGCATACAGCTATCATTTGCATCTTGAGGAGTAAAACTTGGTAAGTCATGGTAATCTGTTCAGTTATGATATATGAGCCTGTCAGTCAAATGAAGCTTTCAATCAGCCCAAACTATAGATTGACATCTGATACCAAAACAACAATGGCTCATTCCTCCACAAATTGTATTTTATTCCTGGACATGTTTATCGAATCAATGTGAGCCTTCTGAAGGAAATCAACTGCTCGGTCCCAAGCAGACAAGGAACCTGTCCTTGACGCCATGCCACTGAAAGCTTTCTGGAATTTAACCCAATTTACTCTTATTTTATGGTTGGCTTGTGTCTACATGGTACCTGGCTCTGTCTGCCCCAGTGGTTGCTGGGATATGTGGCAGCATAACAAAGGAGCATTGTAGAGAATTAATTATATCCAAGTCATATTTCTCACAGACCAAATTCAGTTCTATATGCTTCCAAAACTTGATGGTGATTTCTTTGAAATTGAAACTTAAAAGCAGATATGGAATGAGATTGGGTATGCTCGAGTTTCTGAAGACATTCAGCGACAGGGTAACATGAGAGGATGGAATATGCCAGTCATAAAGATGTCGTTAAAAATCTTGTAGGATTACATTTACTAGGATAGGTTTGGGCACCTGTTTGTATTCTCTTCCTCATTTGGGACCCTAGTGGCAGAGTTATGTCCCTTTGATTGTGGGTTTAAATCTGAGTTGTGAAACCATGTTTCTGGGTTTGTAAGTATCATACCATGCTTATTGCTTTTACCATTCTGGTAAATGTTATTGTAAGATCTTTACTGCTTCTGGCTTTCCGGGGGCGGTGGGGTAACCTAGTGGTTAAAGCGTTGGCTCGTCACGCCGAAGACCCGGGTTTGAATCCCCACATGGGTACAATGTGTGAAGCCCATCTCTGGTTTCCCCTGCCGTAATGTTGCCGGAATATTGCTAAAAGCGGCGTAAAACCAAACTCAGTCAGTCAGTCAGTCTGGCTTTCCGCCTTCATCAGGCTGACATGCAGGGATATTTCAGTAACTGGGTTACTGTTCAAGGCAGTTTGAAACCAAACACACTGACATTTTCTCAGAAGTGTGTTTTTTGGCCCACATATCCACGTGAGCTTGAACTCTCACAAATCATCTATCAGTGACAGTTGCATTTTTGCCTGCTGCTCTTTAATAACGAGATAGATTCAGCCAAAATCTTGTGGTGATGTTAAAAGATGGTACAAGCATCAAAATTGGCACAGAGTGGCACAGATGATGATCTTCAATATAACATTCTTGCTCCACATTGGTTTTCCCGCTGTGCATAGAGTAGCCAAGACGTAAAAGCATTCGCTCATCATGCCTAGGCCTGGTTTCAGTTCCCTGCATGGTGCAATGTATGAAGCCCATTTCTGGTGTCCCTTGTCATGATATTGATGAAATACTGCAAAAAGCAGTTTCAAACCATATTCAATCTCTTGTTCCTGCCACATTAAGCAGCCATGGTGGGATATCATGATAAGCAGTTCAAAAGGATGTGAAACTGAAGTCACTCAGACATCCTCAGAACTAGTATTGTATTCCAGGTTAAGAAACTGCATGGGGAAATTGATTAGAACTCTTGGTTGCCGCGAAGCACCAGCTGCAAAAAGTAGCCTGCCAGGAAACGATGTTTACTCTCTAATGCTGTCACAAGTCCTGTGATTTAACATACATTTACAAATTGTGCAGCTGTGAGAATCAATGCTGGCACAGGTGCCTGGTACTCTGTAAATAGGAAAATATTGTTTCCACTAAATCTATTTATGTAGTCAGAGTTTGAAGTCAAAATTGTCTGCAGTACTGTTTCTTAAGTTTAATCAGAAGAGACATGCACATGCTAAAATCATCAGTATCATAAAGTTACATTTATCCTCTCAGCATTTAGACCCGAAACAGATCCCATGGCAGTGTTAGGAACCAAGTGTAGCACTGTTGCTTAAGTTAAATCGGAAGAGACGTCCACATCTAAAATCATCAGTATCATAAAGTAACATTTGTCCTCTCAGCATTTAGACAAGAAACAGATCCCATGGAAGTGTTAGGAACCAAGTGTAGCACTGTTGCTTAAGTTAAATCGGAAGAGACGTCCACATCTAAAATCATCAGTATCATAAAGTAACATTTATCCTCTCAGCATTTGACAAGAAACAGATCCCATGGAAGTGTTAGGAACCAAGGGTAATTAGTGTTAATCTATCAATCCTTGGTCCTAACGATGATTGGGAATGTCAGCCATTACCTAATCAGACAAGCCTCCAAGCCACTACACTGACAGTTTTAGGGTCATTGAGCCTCTAGGTGCCCAAGAACCAGCCAATGACATCAGACATGCTTGTTCCAATCCTATATTTGGAATTGCCACAATCCAAACCCAAACTCCTGTGACCTTTCAACAGTATTGTCTGAACATGGTAATGGACGTCTGTTGTTTTGGATAGTTTTCTGTCATTGTTAAAATATGTTACTCCATTGTCTGAATACTGATGTTCATATGCAAGTTCAAATCTCTAAAAAATTGAATATTGTTTTGAGTTGGTAGCAAAGGGCATTTAAGTGTTGGTATGTGTGTCAGTCATGATGTCATCTGTGTCCCCAAAAGACATTGCCAGAAGGCAAGATGGCTGCCATTGAAGGTCAAATGACCAATGGCTACACTAGTGGCAGTTTTCATGAATCACAAGGGTTGATGATGTCCAAACTAGGAAGTTTGAAGAAACAATGTTAGTCTGAAGTCATTGTGTTTGGAGTGGCATGGTGGTGGGATGGATTGTTTGAGGGTTCCGAAGAGTTGCAAAAAGTCTCATAGATCAACAGTAAGTATTATGTTCTATGGACACTGTTGCCATATTTCAGATTATTGATGCCTAA